TCTGGTACACACACTGACAGCAAACAGTTGTTTAATTTCAACAAAAAACCACAGTCATCTTAAATTCCATTTAATCCGACTCCATATTTATATTACAAAATGCGGCCTGATGTGGAAAAACAGAAAGCCTCAAACTGAAAAACATCATAGGGGTCAAGAAGTTCTCGTGTTTGAAATATTAACTTTTAACATTTGTTATGGCTTTTGCTGTTTCCTGCGCCTTTGCTTTATCTGCATTGTAATGGATTAGCTGCAAGATAAATGAGCACAGACTCACTCATGGTCATGTACAATTTATTCATTTATTTTTTCGCTGTATAAGTCCAGCCAGACTCATAGTAGACTGAACCGATTTGGCCTAAGATCTGGACAGGGTGTGGAACCTCCTTAGCCCACAGAGCCTCTACCTCCTGGCATGGTTCGTTTACAGAGCTGAGATCTGGTGAGATCATCCCCGTGAGACTGTTCCACTGCTAATGAGAGGGGGAGGGAGGTTTTCCAAGGCTACTCATGCCTCACTGGAGGTCCTCGTGTCATCTGTGGGTTTGTGGTTGCACTGGCAGTGATTCAGGCCTTACCTTGGACTGAGTTTTTCCAGCTGGGCCCCAGAAGGTAAGGAATGAGGATTGAGCATGTTTTATTTTGGACATAATGTAAAAGAAAGTCTGACTCTTAATGTGTGGGGTTTTAAATAAATAAGTAAATACATTCTTTGTCTTGTTATAGGTCAGTTCAAAACCATGGCAATGATTTAAACTCACTCTTGAGACTGACTTGAGAAATCACTAAGAGTAATTTAAATCAATTAGCTTTGTTTCACAGCAATATTGGCGACTCTGAAGTGTTTCATAGAAACAGTAAGCACCATTTAGCTCCCGTAGCAAAACAGCCATAATATACTTTAATATCTACCCAGTTCTTGTGGCTAAGCTGGAAAAGTTTCCTACAGCAGACCGTGAGCAACATGGTCATCCCATTGGAATACTGCCTTTCAAATTTGCAAGCAGCTATCATTTATTGTTTTCACATATGGTAGGTTGAGAAGTATCTATATCTTGTGTGACAGGTGTTAGAGGAGTCTATTTCACTTACAGCACCCTCACACTGAACCCCTACTTGTAGTAGGCTCAGTGACAGATACTCTCTCCAAGGATGTGGCTGATTGACTACATTTTATTCCATACTACATATATAAGTAGCCTACTGTATTTATTAAGTTCAAATTTGAGGTACTTTTACTTTACTTGAGTCATTTCTTTTCATGGCACTTTCTATTTCTACTCCACTGTACTTCATAGGGAAATATTGTACTGTTTACTTGACTACAGTTATTTGATAATTACTAGTTTCTTTACAAATTCGTTTAAGACATTTTTCATTTGCTGTTTTTTTCTTTTAAGTATTTTAATAAAAATGTTGTGGTTTGGACAAACCCAGCATTGTAAAGTCGTCACTTTGGGCTCTGGGTAATTGTGAAGACCTTTCTCGCTATTTTCTTAATTTTTACAAACCAAATGATCAGTCCGTTATAGGAAATAATGAGCAGCATTAATCCATAATAAAAAATAATTATTAGTTAGCAGTGTGTTGTATTACCACCGCTTAATTTATTTAAGTAATCAGGTAACATGTTAGGCTACAGTTACACCTTAGTAGTAGAGTAACCCCTCAGCTCGAGCTCGACAGGGACGTCGGGGTCTCACCGGTCTCGTCATCCCTGCAACTTTTTCCTTTTTTTTTTGGGAGGGGGGTGTTGCCCGTCCAGTGGCAGACTGCTCCTTTCTGCTCGCCGAAAGGGAGAGAAAAGGGGGTCTTTTTCTTTTGCTTGCGGAGGATATGAATTTGAATCGCACAAGGATAATTCAGGGAAGTTGAGCTCTCCAATAGATGGTCACAAATGAGCGGTCGTGTTCTGATCGGGAAAGTGCCTCCTCTGCAGTCGGCGCCAAGAGCTAGAAGGACTTTACTTTTTACGCCAAGGTAATGATGATATTTCATTACGGGTTTCTCTTAGACTCAATGAAGACGTTTTTCGTCAGTTTGAGTTGAATGTTGTTAGTAGGCCTATGCTACAGTGGCTTTCTTTTTTTGCCTTCTAATGTATGTTAATGGTTGTTCCACCTCTGGGGACTGTGCTCTAGCAGTTAATAGATTAATTCGTTGGATTTAAATCATTAATCTTTTGACCTTGCCTAATGTAAACGGGACAGGATAGAAACAGTTGCCGATTAGCTACTGTTGAGTAAAGGATGAATTCGGCTGATTTCAGTACATTTTTTGTGCTTAAATAATGAAATTGTACTTGAATACTTTCACGATAAAATGGTGTTCAGAAGTAGTCATATTCGTTATCTGACCTTCCACATTTGAACGGTTATAGCCTACACGTGTGCATTATGTTGACATGATGTTGGAAGTGCTCGTGAGAAGTGCAAGAACGTATGCTGAGACAAATCTGGCACTAGAAATTATAACATCTGTGGCAGTGCGGTGCTGCTACCACAGCTATCTGTATAATGAAGGACGCCTTCACCACTCACTCAGCCATAGGCATGCACCCCAGGAGCCTTGTCTTTGCTGTCCTTTATGCAGAAAAATATAATGCCAGGAGTTAAGTTGCATTGTATTCTTCTCACTGTGTGCTTCTTGTGATTTGATCTGATATAGCTACAATAGGGTAGACCAGCTTATATAGTTACCCTGTGTGTACACACACACACACACACACACACACACACACACACACACACACACACACACAGAATATCTGTTCAAGTTCTAACTCTTACCCTGTTATCTGTACAATGTTATGCATGGCTGTTAAAGGTTTGTCTGTCTTGCAGTGTGCTAGTACCATACCCATGTCCATTTTAAGTGATGCTGTTAGATCCAGGTCCAAGTCTGGACCGTGATTGTAACTTCCCCACTCTGCTAGTAGAACGGACAGACAAATCCGAGAGACGTTGGAGTTGTGCCACAGAAAACAAAAAAGTTAATTGCCGCCCAATGTATGAAATATGCACTTTGCTGGTATACTCCCACCCACTCCCTGTCTGGATTTCACCCCTGAGAGCAGACAGTTTGGCTTGAAACATCAACAGCCCCACAGGCCGTCCTGCCTCTTCTTAGGCTGACACCCCCATGGGGTTATTCATGGCCCCTCTGTCGGAGGTGGTATTCTTCAAACATACAATGAACATCTGGACTTAATGTAAATCAAAATTATTCTCCTCATTGATGGCATGGGAAAACATTAAAATTTAAAATTCTCAAATCAAACATTAATCTTAGGACTTTTCCCTGCTCATGTCAAACTTTTCCTCTGAGGTCACGTATCTATGGCCACAAATCACTTCGCTAAAAGGTTGCTTTAATGCATCAGAATGCACTAAACCAGTACCAAGTGTCAGTGCAAGCTTCTTCTCTGTTTTACAAGTGCAACTCCACTAAAACCATGTGATTAAATCCAATTCTGAATGTGTATGGGCCATTTTTGTTTCCCTGTATTTTTCTGTGCAATTCCATGTCCCATGCTTCTGTTAATTGCAGGCTGCTGACCCACAAAGAGCGTTTTCAGCTCAGTGGGGAAAGCAAAAGAAAGGGAAAATAACTGATTCAGCTCAAGCAGTGACTAAGCTTTAAAGGGTCTTATTAATTTACCGTTTCCACTGTGCCACATTTTTGTGTGCCAACATAAATTTGATTACCACCTGTGGTTGCCAGCAGTAATGATGGGGAACGTAATTATACAAATCTGAACTGGACTCGCATTTAGCTCTCTAGAGATATAATTTTTACATGGCTCTTCTAAAGCAAATAAAAATGTTGAATTTTAAACTCCTCCTCAGACTGAATTGCTTTGTCCTCCAGTGATGTTTTGGTTGACTGAGAGGCTACACCACACGCACCACATTTGCATTTTAGATGTATTCAAAAATGAATGCATCCAGAGTCCTGATGCCTAGTGAGCAATTTCTCAGAGCTGTGCTTGCCATCTCTGCCTTCCTCACACACGGGGCCAATCTGGCAGCATCTGTTTTAGGGCGATGTAGGACTTCATTGTGGGGTGGAGGGAAGGGTCAGGGAAGGTTCAGAAGCCTGTCACACTGATTTCCCCTCATCCTGCTTCTTTAGAGCATACCAGACCGCTTTCTAAACCCTGAGCTGTCAGTTGCCATACTTTTTATTCAGCATGATTTATCAGCATATCCTGTGAAGTTTCCCTTGAAGCTACAGTTGAAGATTACAGTGTGTTGGTCTCTGTTTAAAAACTGCTAGCCCTGCTGTCATAGTGATTTATTAAATTATGGTTAAACTTATATTTTTACATATTTAAAATTAACTGTCCAAACTGACCTTTGCCATCTTAGTCGAAGTGGCTTACTAAAATCTACATTCAGCTTTCTGAAGTTTGTTAATAGCGGGTTAGATTGGATGAAGAATGTTCCAAACACAACTTTTGATTTTAAGAAAAACTCAAGAAACATTTTGATGAGGTCTTGCTCTCATAATGCAGTCAAAATGAATAAATTATATCCTCATAATTAGTGTTGGGTTTTACCAGTAAGCCAATAGCTGTCTTTTAAGTGCATAAAATCAAAGTTATGATTTCAAATACCAGAAAATTCTTTAATAATATTTTAACCTTTGGAACAAGTAAATTATGATATACGGTAATAAGATAAGTGAAGAACTCATACTTTATTTCATTAAATCATGAAAGATCAACTCTTGAAGTTTTGGTCACCATATGGTCTGGAGCTCTGATGTATTAGTTGAATCAAAGCAGCTGCGGCCATGTTGGAATTACCTGCTTGTTTGAGCATGTGGCCACCTCCAGAGACAGCTCACTGCAGACAGATGGACATATCACTGTTACCGGCAGCCTTTTCTCCCTTCAAACACAGATTTCTGCATCTTTACCTACTGTACATTCGCATGTTTGCCGTTAACTTGATAACAGCCCATTTTTGCTAAAAGGTCACCCTGTCTTGTTTCAGTTGGGATGAGAGCAGCTCCATCAGCAGTGGCCTCAGTGACGGTGATGGCGAGGGCTCTGAGAACCTCAGTTCAGAGGAGTTCAACGCCAGCTCTTCTCTTAACTCCCTTCCGAGCACACCCCTGGGATCCAGACGCAACTCTTCTGTTATGGTGAGCTGAAATACTGTACCCAACAGCATGGGGAAATTTGGCTTCTCTTTATCTTTTGCAACCAAGGCCTTTAGTTGAAGCATTTTCAGGGCTTCACTCTGTGATTTACTTTGTATTGTGTCTTAAATGCAAGTCCTTTGTTTTGACAAGGCCACAAGGAAACAGCACAGACCTCACCTCTGTCATTAAAATGAAATTAAAGAGAAACCACATCTGTCACAGTGCAGTAACTCTTTACTATGGCAGTTCAGTTTGTTTTGTTCAGAAAATTACATCTAAACTTCCGGTAGTTCCACTGAGCCTCAAAGCCCCCTCAGCAATTAAAAATGCGTTTTGCTTATTGTTTCTTCTGTTGGATGTTTGACCTTCACTGCGCACAATGATGTGCAGAGTCTGATGCCAGAGGCTGTTTTCAGGTTCATCTGCTGAAGGAGGAAAGTTTGCCCTAAGGTTTAATACATGCAACCTCCTTGTGGAAAATCACTGAGGATAGACTTGTGTTTAGTAGTTCAGCTTTTTAAATTAATATTTGCATGGTCATGCAGTCTGAATTTTAACATGGTAATGTAACTTTTTTTGTGGAAAGACCACAAGACAGAAATGATTATTCTAAGCCGAGTATACATATACATCTTAAGAAATGTCTGTATCTTTGAATTTTATCAGACTCGTTACATTCATTTTTAGTGGTAGTGGTTTCCTGCCTTTTCCACAGGTAAACATTTTGTCTTTTTGCTTACTTAAAGAATGCTGAGTGGGAAGAAATGAACATTTGTGCAACTCAATGAGCCATCTGTCGTTCTATATCACATTAATAGGGTGCCAAGAAACAGCATGCCCAATTTTGTCCTCAGTGCCACCTCCTCAATGCACCACATGATAGTTTTTCTATTACAGTGTAGCTGTCTTTTTTAAGCACTGCACATCATTTTCAGAGATTACAAAATAAAGACTCAAGCTGTCCTCTATTGTCCTCTTAAATTTTCTGTATCATTCTTTAATGTGTTGATTTATATCTTAACAGTTTTTTATTTTATTTTTTGGTTTCGTTCCTTTGTCTTCCTCTGTGGTTTTCTTTAATCCACTCGGGGCATATCAGTCCATCCCTCCTTCCCTCTGGAATGCTGCTCAGATGAAACACAGATTATAGACAACAGTCAGGTCCATAGATAACAAAGTCCATCTGATGGTTACCCACACTGTGCCTCTTCTCTTCCCTTCCCTCTACAGCTCCGCACTGATGCAGAGAAGCGCTCCCTAGTGGAAAGTGGACTTTCATGGTACAGTGAGGATGGCAAAGCCAGCCACAAGCTCAATAGTTGCAGCTATGAAACGGGGAGTCTCAAGGCCGAGGCCCCGAGTAAGTGGAGAAAGAAGCCTCCTAGTCTCAGTGAAGATTCAGGGGGTAGAGGGGAACTAAGGAAGCCTCAAAGTTTAGGTCAACCAGGAAGTTTCAAGAAAGGACGTAATCCTCCTATAGGCGTGACCTCCCCCATCACCCATACCTCTCAGAGCACATTGAAAGTCGCAGGTGAGATCTAAGGTATAATTTTGTTTTCCCTTCTTGTTTTTTTAACTTGTTTTAACTATTAAACCTATGTCATCCATTATCTCTTTTTATGCTGGATCCAAATGTAAGACATAACCTGTGTGTAGAGCAGCCAAGGCAGATATGTGCTTGGTGTCAAGATGAATACAGCGTAAGCCAGGTTTTGATTTGCAACACAGCACAGCATACAAAAATATCACCATGAAATCCATTTAATTGAAAAACATCTCAGCTTAAAGGCCAGAGCCATGTTTCTGCTATTATATCAGACAAGAGCCTGTTACTTTAAATGTCTGCCATGACAGCTGTCAGCAGCCACTAAATTGATTTAAACCCCAAAAAACATGCCATGATAAATAATAGGTTAAAATTGAGTTCCAATACCAACATTTCGTGGCCTTTCATTTTAATATCCTCAGCTTTAAACATAAGTGATTACAATTAGATGTTATTTTATGTATTCTGGCTGCAGTTTTGCAGGGAAAAAGTTTCTGTTAGCGGATGCAGTTCTAAGGTTTACAGAATGACTTTAGGGGTCAGATGTGTTGAATTTACTCTCATGAATATACTAAAGCGATGACTTTACTTTTAGCCTTTAAAAAATACAATTTTACCATTATCTTTTAATAAATCCTTTGAACTCCACATATTTTCCAGCTCTGTGCTTTACTTTAATGATCCATAAAGACCACATTTTAATTGATTATATTGGATACATCTTATTACATGGTTAAAGAAGAGCGTAAAACTCTTTAAACCCTTCAGAGTCAGTCGGTGAGTCACATTTGACATCATGAGCACATAAAAGCTTTCAAAGTAAATACAGATGTTTCTTGCTTATATTTTGTCTTTGTAATGGCTGCAATGTACATTTAGTTAGAGAGAACTGATGTATTACATTTAAGTTTTTTTTGTTTGAGTTCACTGGTTTTACCATCAATCTATGTTATTATAATGTAATCTATTTTTGAGGTGCTTATTCTTGTCATCGTCATGGTAGCAATGGGTAAAACAGAGCAGCTCCTTGGCATTTAAAATCATAATGTTGTTATTCACTTATACAATTCTTTCTTTCTTTCTTTATGTAGCACCTAAAAGTGAGAAGCCATTGGATAAATCCAGGATTTCCATCAAAACTACTGGTCTACAAAGGTCTCGTTCAGATGCAGGCAGGGATCACCATGGAGAGCACCGCAAGCCACCATCAGGTCTGGTTAAACCCACTGCTGGAGGCTCCTTTGGCTATAAGAAACCACCAATAGCCACTGGTACTGCCACTGTTATGACAGCAGGGGGCGCCACCATCTCCAGTGGCTCTGCTACTGTGGGGAAAACCCCCAAGTCATCTGGCATCCCTGTGAAGCCTGTAGGAGGAGGAATACCCTCAGGTCGAAAGAACAGTTTTGATGCCAGCAGTGAGCAGAGCTTCCTGGGGCCGAATGCCCGAAACAGCATTCAGTACCGCAGCCTGCCTCGACCGGCCAAATCAAGCACACTCAGTGTGATTGGTCGCCCTGCACCTCGGCCTGTCAGTGGTACCATTGACCCCAGTCTGTTGACTTTGAAACCTGTGCCCATGGCCTCCACGGGCCCCAGAGTTAAAGAGCCTAGTAGCTGCAGCAGTAAAATGGCAAGTCGAACGAGCACAGGCCCAGTGAACCAGACAGACCGGGAGAAGGAGAAGGAGAGAGCTAAAGCCAAGGCTGTGGGTGCTGACATAGACTGTGGTTCTCTGAAAGGAGAGGAGAGTCAGTCCACAGGAGAGTCTGCCATGAAACTACACGGCCTGAGACGGACCAGCAGCAGCAAATACCCTGAACTGTCATCTCCCACCACACCAAGGTGTCTCATTTAAACATTGCTTTAAAGAGTTGGTTCCTCTAAATTACAAATAAAGAAATGTCTCTGACCTCTACTGATATCTAGAGGTGTTACTTTCCCCTCCATTTTTTATTCTCTAGTGATATCTAGCCATGCAGGTACAGTGACTTTGACTTTATATGCTCAGGATTTCTGCTGCCCCCAATATACCACCACAACAATAAAAGTCAATGAAATTTTACATCTAATTACATCTTAGCAGTATCTCTTTCCAAATTGGGGGGAAAAAAGTATGAACAGTTTTTAATACATTAGCTTTTTACCAAATAAATGGTTAAGTGTATTGGGAAGATCATTTCTTTGGATTTATGTTGCATTTATGAAAGTTAAAGGCAGAAATCTTAGAGACAGATATTGCAAAACCTTGGCATCTACATATGCATCTATCTGCCTGGTTATATATTGCTAGAGGTAAGTTAGAAAATTACCTGAAATAAATACACATGATGCACATGCATGATCCAGTAATGATCATGCAATAAAATTTTAACATCTGTTTTTCTGCCTGATCCCTAGGATGCTGAACACCAAGTCTCTTGGTCGTCCACCCAGCTTGGCTCACCTGGACAAGGTCAACTCCAACAGTCTTGATTCCTGTGTGACCATCCAGGACCTCCCACCCAAAGTCCCCCCATATTCCAAACTGCAGGATTTAGCTGGTTCCTACACCTCCTCCCGCCTCACTCCCAGCCCAGCGCCTGTGCTCCACATCGATTCCCCTGGCTCCTACACCAGTGAAAGCCTGAGTCTGAGCGGATCACCGCTGCTCTACCCCAAGCTGTCTGGCATGCACCGCAGCATGGAGTCCCTGCCCCTCCAGATGAGCGTGCCTTCCAGCACGAGGTTTGTTAAAACTGAGATGCATGATAAGGAAGAGAGGGCTACGGGAACCTGGGGAGCCGGAAGCAGGACATCCCTCAACCTTACAGATGGGTAAGTATGTCTAATGTGGCCACTTTTGGACTACATAATTTTCTGTGTCCTTTGTGTATGCTGTTGTTTTGACTGAAAAGAAAATTATTGTGAAGGAATAACTAGCATTAACTAGATTTTTTGTAGACTAAGTAAGCACTTTTTATTTGAGGTGAGAACAGCAAGTCACAGTAATGTAACTAACGTTAGCTAGGTTGTGGGTTAGCAAACTGCAGTTACAGTTGCTGCTGCAAGGTTAACATGCAGAGAGGATGCAATGGTCCCAGAGCTTGCACAACAGCTCCCGTGATACTCACAACTCTTCTGCTACTATAGCTAACATCACAACAGCGTGTCTTGGCAGTCTAAAAAGTAAGCTAAAAATCTGTGGGCAAGTCATTTAACGTTTCCGAACACACAAATCATGGCTGCCTTGGCTGGAATAGTGTTATGTGGCAGGGTCTAAGCCACTTTGTTTGTTTCCCATTTACTTTACAGCCAGGGCTGTGTACAAACATCAAATGCTTTTTGTATGTAAATTAGCCTCCAAGTCCCTTTTTATTTTTTAAATTATAAACATAAGGATGGGAAAACAATCCTCAAAATGGAGTTATTCTAAACTCAATAGTCAGTCATTTCTGTTGGCAACCAAGCGAGTCTCAACAACACAGGAAATACACATTGCACAAAACACCTGATTCCCCCTCTCCCGCATGGAACGTAGTACAAGTTCACATACAGTATGTTACTCACACTGATCAAACTTGTCAAAGTGTAAACTGACAGAAATTTGGTTGTTTGAGTAAAAGGCATCTCACTGCCACATTTTCCCTCTTCCTGCCAATCCTGGTAAAAGTAACTGCATTATCCTAGCAGCTTTGTGTGAAACATAATGTCCAGTAGGCAGTTGATCCACTGTTTCAATGTAAAGACATCCAACACTGGGATAAAGTTTTTGTGGGAGCAGGAGTACCAGCCAACCATATTTTATGTGCTTTTTCTGGGAACGGAACCTCTGAGGTGTCATTTAGGAGATGGAGGCCTGGATCCATCGGAATATCTCTTTGTCAAGGTGGAGACGGTCTGAGTTATTGCCTCCCAATGAAATGTAATTTTAGGCAGTCCCATGCTGTGTGTATGAACGTGCCCAGTGTGCCATATGGGCTAGATGTACAAAGAGGATTAGAAGATAAACTCATGACTTGTCTTTCCCAGGTATTCAGCATGTCCTGTGACAAAACTTAATTAGTAAATTAATGATAGTGTACTGTAAGGTTTATAGAAACATACTATATCTCTTTTAACAATGTTTTTATTCTCTTCTTTGCAGCTTGCAAACGGACAGAAATACCTTTCCGAAGAAAGGCTTAGAGTACGTCACAACAGTTACTGTCCAAGCATCTGTTTGAAATCTTACACTGTGATTTGTCTTTATTGTTTGAAGTAATAATTACCTCTCTTTTCTTAGACGCTATGGCTCAAGCCTGTCAGAGAGTGATGGAAGCAAACCGGGAAGGCGCCACTCCCACACCATCGTCAGCATGACAGAGAGCGATAGCCCCCCCCAGCTGCCTTCTCCCACACGCCCTCTCCACCCCTCCTCCGGCAAGGTTCCTCTCACCAACGTGGGTGAGTCTGTTTGCTCCATTTGGCAGCCAAGTTCTAAAAAAACAAGATGAGACTTGAGATATTTGATAATCCATCCATCTTATCGTTAATTATTATTGAGGACAGGGATATTGAGTTTGCACTGAGAGGAGAGTCCAGCTTAGTTTTAGTTAAGAAATGTTGTAACAAGTTGTCAATAAAAGACCAAGTCATGTCTGATGATGAAGTGATGGCAAGTTATTATGGTATCAGATTTGACTATGTGAATATTACTATCCCAGATCAACACTCATTTAGACTCAAGTCTGAAATATTCTGGCGATGGAAGCAAAGAGGGGGTCAAGTCAGGCTATATTTATCTCTTTGACTGTTGTGTTGCCTTTCACAGAGTCATCAGAATTAGGGTGCTATACCAAGTGTGTGTGTGTGTGTGTGTGTGTGTGCGTATGCGTGTGCGTGCGTGTGTGTGTGTGTGTGTGAGAGTGAGAGAGTGTTACTCTACAGCACTGCATCCTGCAGTTTTATCTGTGCCACTCACTGTCTTTCTAAACATCACTCTTTTATGGTAGTTGCCCCAATTTCTAGTGGCACCCCAAGGATATCGCGCTCCAACAGCACAGGCCCCCCCAGTGAGTCAGCCTGCGATCTCTATGGATCCTCCCCCCTGGGCAGCAGTATGTCCCTGGCTGACCGGCCAAAAAGCATGATGCGGTGTGGGTCTTTCCGTGAACCAGGGGATGATGGTGAGGCTGCTCAGCCTGCCTCCCGGCAGGGAAATTACACTCAAATTAAACAAAGCTGTCTGCTCATTCAGCACGCAATCTGTTAAGCAAAATGTCAGAAGGACATTTGTTTTCATAAACAAAGGAAGGTAGGAAGGAGCCCTATTAAGTGCCTTATTTAAGTCAGTATATAACTCACTATCTGTGATCAAAAAAACACGAGACCCTCCAGCAATAATTTAAACTTAACACACACTCTAGCACTAGACTAACTCCAAATGTTTCAGTGCTATAGTAAAAGTTTGTTCTCGAATACACAACAAAACAAAATACAAATTAAAACAATTTTAATGGGGGGTTTTTCATGTGTCAGACTGTTAAATCATGTCTGTGAATATGCCTGTTATTGAAATTTTCTTGATTAGCTGGCGGAGTTTTAGATATTCGATTGTCCTGAGAGCTGTCAATAGTAACAAAGTAGTAATTTAATTTATGCACTGCCCTAGTCATTTATTTATAATAAGAAATGCTAGTAAACAATAATCTAACTACTTGTTTAACCAAATAATATATTAGAATTGCCTTGCTTTCGATATTAAGTCATCTCCCTTGACTGTTTCAGTGCATGGCTCTGTGCTCTCTTTGGTGTCCAATGCTTCATCCAACTATTCCTCGGTGAGTAGAAACAGTCATAATATGTACAGTATAATCTAATAAGTTTGCTGGAGTTTAGTGCTTTGTGATTTCAGTTTACACGTCCTCACTTCAAAAAGCAAAATAAGCTTATACAGTACAGATGAACTTTTAACCACTACAGCCAATTCAGGCAAAATGCCTTAATCATAATGATTGATGGACTTTTTTGGCATGCAGGAGAACCTTACCTTGTTTTATAAATTTATAAATTTTGTTTCTTACAAACCTCTTGGTGGCCTGATATTGCACTGTGATTGGACAATTTGGTACCTATTCTTTGTTTGTATTTCACCATTGTCATCTCTATAAAACGTCAGTCATGTCCCGTTTTACTGGGGATAAGTAGTTTTCGTATCTGCCCCTAAATTTAATGCTTTACTTTATCCCTCTTTATTGTTTATTTGTTTTCATCATGCCTTCTTTAGAATGAGGAGAGGATACAAGGAGAGGTAAGGCCAACGTGCCATGACTCTTCAACTCACATTGGGCCTTTTGTTTGCATCACCTGTCAGTCATTTCCTGTTGAAACAGGTCCATTTACTACATGGTGTTAGCCGTGATTAGTGAAGTCTGTGAACATTGATCTCTCACCCAGGACCTCATAACTCAGTTCATGTTGTTTTATCGCTAACATTTTTTGTCTTTTACCACAAACTTCTAACATTTAATAAAGACATATGAAGACCTAATAAAATTCTCAGTGCATGAGAAAAAGTGGTAAAAGTGCACTGTCATCCCTTGATTAAACATTTGCTATTCAGTTGGAATGTATTTAACCACCTTTATATTGGTTTCAATTATGGAACAATTACTTTTATATGTTGCATATTCTTTTTTTATTAACTAATCAAAACATTCAAACACATTCAGTTGTTGTTGTAGTAATTGAAAACCTGTATTAATATTCTCAACACTTTCTGTCTGAGGTGCTGTATAATACATTGTCCACACTGCTGGGGCTTACTTTTTAATTTGTCCACAGCAAATCCGCAAGTTGAGGCGAGAGCTGGAATCCTCCCAGGAGAAGGTTGCTGACTTGACCATGCAGCTTTCTGCCAATGTATGTATGATTAAAAAACAAAAACATTTTAAGATCTCCCTTTGGCCTCTTTTTGTAAGCTAATTTGTTAATGTGTTGGATGCATGCCAGATCCTTTTATCAGTGTGATCGATCCACAATGTGAATCACTCCTATTATGAGTCATTGAGTTTGTACCCGACAAGCAACTGAGATCTAGAAATCCCACTGACACATTAGGTCAGAAGTTATCTTGGACCTTTGGGGGCTTTTTAAAATACAGGTTTTGCACATTTTATGGCTTAATTTGATAGCCGACTGTAGAGAGATGACAGGAAACAAAGGGAGAACAACATGCATAAAAGGTCCCTAGTTGCAGTTCATAGCTAGCGCCATAACCACTAGGCCGACAGGGTGCGCCCTATCACTTTGGTCTTACAGCAGACTATATTTTACTTTTCTCACATCTTTCCACTGCAATCTAGATCGACACTTCTTTCACCTTAACCATCAATACTTCCTTTAAAGTCTTTGATTGAACCAGTGAATACATTTTCCACCTCTGTTTATTCTTATAGTCTCACCCTGCTGCTTCTAGATGCTTGAGTCTGGCTGTTTGGAGCGCACTCAACTTTTACTTCAACACCACCTAACCACTGATCTAATAATAGTCAACCAGTATGAACAGTTATGGCTACAGTCTCCTATTGCAAATTTTACCCATTGCCTCCTCTCTAAACTATCAACTAACCTGGCCTAATTAGGGGACTTGGCTTGGGAACTGGAGGGTGGCCTGTTCAAGTCCAGTGCGGACTACAGTACAAAGTGTGGAGTGGTAGCTGGAAAGTCAGTTCACCTCAAGGTACCCCTGATCACGGCACCAAACCCCTAACTGCTCTGGGGGTGCAGTTAGGGGTAACAAATCTCCCCACAACTTCATGTCTGTGTTTCCTGTGTGTCTGTGTTTCCTGTGTGTGTGTGTGTGTGTGTGTGTATATGCTTTGACTGTATGAGAAGTTTAATCCCATGCCTAACGTTACTATCCCTCTCTTTCCTTGGCTGTATTGACTGCTGGACTTGCTGCTGCCCCCTGCCTGCCTCCCACTGCCCCGCACCTCTGGATGCTGGGTGTAGCAGCTAGGCCAGGTTTGTTGTACCGTTGCTTGTAGAGCGTTGTCTGTCACTTCCGCATGATTCTCGTCAAGTTGACAAGTATCTGTCATCTGACATCTCTGCTGGGCTCGCTACGTGGCGCGGCTGATCGCATCACCTTCTTTGAAGCATGTTGACAAGGGCTGTTATCTGTTATTATCTATTAATCTGTCAACTATGTTTTCATTTAATCCTTTATTCTCAAATATCAAAACAAAGTGAAAATGGTCTGCAAAATTTCCTGGAGCCCAAACTGTGTCTTCATATTTGTTGTCAAAGATGTTTGTAAAGATTCTCAGTCATCCAGGTCATAGTTTTCCATGGAGGGTTAAATCAAGGGTGACTGGACTCGATTGAAGATACTTGAAAATGTTTCGCCTCTCATCCAAGAGGCTTTTTCAGTAACTGAATGCCAGGTCCCATGTTTAAACCTCTGTGGGGTCTTTCTGCGGGTGATTGATGCAACTGGTTTGTTAGTGCTCCTAGCTGTAACAACAATTGGTTTTTAGAGTCACCTGAGACCAAGTGTGACCATCCGCCGTTGACATTGTCCCATGACGCTAGATGTGGGTGCTCGTTCAATCTCCTGGACAGGGATGAAAGGACACCATTGTAAGTGGTTGGTATCCATCACCCTGATAACAACCCCGTAGAAGTTAAATACCTGGGACTTCCTGCCAGCTAGTTAGAACTGAAGAAGCCTCTTGGATGAAAGGCAAAATGTTGTTGAAAATGTTGAATTGATAAAGATGAAAGATAGTGGAATTGGGTTTGTGTAGGTCACTTTTTCGCCAAATCATTACAAGCCCTATATACTAAATTTTCCAAACCAAAAAGAGAAACTAAACCCAAGAAATAAAGTCGCAAAAAGAGTAATATCTGACCCACCGTTCAATTATGTAGAATTTGTCATGATTTCTTGACAAAATTCTGTATGATGTTGTCTGTATGATGTTGTTATAGAAATACTCCATCATCATCAGAAATAGTGTGAGACATCCTAGCCTAAAGGTCAAACATGCTACATGAGGTTGATGATGAGGTTTGTGCCCAGCGCTACACCGCTGCCCTCCGTCACCACCATTACACTAACGTCCTCTTTGATCTCTGACATCATCCACAGCTGTCCACTATTCCACCCTCTCCCTCCTTTCCCAGCAGATGGATAAAGCCATTTGCTTGATGGGCTGTGAGCGTGTGAAGCTCTAAACCAATTCAATACAGCTGGTGACTCATACCTGTCCACCGCCCCCCCCAAACTTTTCTCTGTCTCTCTGTCAATCTCTCTTCTTCAACCTCTGTGTCCTCCCATAAAGGCTAATCTCGTAGCAGCATTTGAGCAGAGTCTGGCGCTGATGACGGCACGCCTGCAGACCCTGTCAGTCTCATCGGAGCAAAAGGTATCTTGGTGATATCATTTTGCTAAGAATTGTTAACCGTGTGACAGTTTTCATTTATGTGGATAAGGAAAAGTGATGAGAAAAGTCCATGACATCTAATGAAACTAGCCATTAACGAATGATTGGAAGGCAAAGTTGAATCTCATACTAAAGAAATAGTTGTGTTACTATATGCTGAAGAAATACGTGATGATGATTAGTCTTATATTTATATTAGATCTTGTCAGTGACAGAGAAGCTACCAAGTGACATAGTTGTTCATGTTCATGATTTTCACGTTGTCCTTAGCCACTCAACCTGCCATCCGCGTTGAAAGCGGATAGACATTCCGCAATCCTTGGTTCAGTTACCAGCCTGTAAGCTAACATGAACGCATATTGATATTTTCCCTCTTCAGGACTCCGAGCTCACTGACCTGAAGGATACCATCGAGATTCTGAAGGTCAAAAATACAGAAGCCCAAGAAATCATTCACGTGGCTCTCAGTAATCCAGACATAACACCTAAAGGTATAGAATACGACAGGGGTGTACAGTGTGATTAGGACGCTTGTCCAAAACGCATGAAAAGATTAAGATAGTTATTTCAGAGATATTCAGTGAGCTCTCTTTTCTCCTGATATATAGAACCACTGATCAATCGCCAGAACTCATCAGAGAGCATCTCCAGCCTCACCAGCACCACCAGCCACTCGAGTATGGGCAGTCTTAAAGAGCAGGAGGCCAAGAAGAAGAAGAAGAAGAGCTGGGTGAGGACAGTAAATGGCAATTAATTTTAAGTTAATTAGAGCAACATTAGATTAAGGATTACAACATCAGGAGTCCTAACATACTGTGCTGTGAGAGATTATTTTACAGTGGTTTATGAATCAGATGGGGGGGTGTTCAGATCAGTAGAGGGATGGAAGCTACCAAACCATTTTTGGTATTTTATTGTACAATTCAGCTTCTCAGGGTTTGTAATTGGTCTGGTGTTTGTCAATGTCAAATTCATCACACTTTGAGCAAATTTAGTGAATGTCTTGATTAGCCTTAGATTATCACATTTCAAGATTCAGTGTTTTTTATTTTTTTTGGTCACATGCTCAGACTGCACAATATGTGCAGTGAAATGCAAACTATTAGAATATACATTGATTAAAATAAGAAAAAATATAAATGTATGTAATAAAAGTATTAAAATTACATGTTTTTAGTGAGTGCTGGGCTATTATCAGTTTATATTATGTTGTATTGATCTAAAAAAATACATATCAGCCGCTGTCCTAGTTTGTTCTCCTGCATGGGTGTGTGTGATTCTCCTCCTATCTTGTTCCAAATCTGTTCTTAAGTATGACTCTGGTCTCTCCCTCATGCTGCCCTGCTTTTTATTTTAGGTCTTTGAGGTGAGTGATGTTGCTACAGAAAATAAACCCTAACTGCCCTCCCCCTCTGCATGCACTTTGAGTCATACTGTACTTGTGAAATGTTTGGAAACTTTCAAGCATTCATGTCTTTCCAAACTTGATAAATAGAATTACCTTGTACAATCTTCTGATTACATGAAATTGTTAAATTAAATGACAGAATAAGGGTTTCATGTACTGATATAATCTGCATGTGTTAAACTGTTCTGTAAAAACCACATCGGACGGTTCAATGAAGATGAGTATTAGTGTTTCAGACATGGTAATTTACAGTGTGTACCAGAAGGTTAAAACAGGAAACAGGTGTGGATAACAACCCTCAGTAGCTGTATTATTGTAATTTTTATTATACTCAGGTGTTGTTTTTAGACATATCATGTATTTCGGTCTTATATGTCTTCTTTGTACAGTTACGCAGCTCCTTCAACAAGGCCTTTAGTAAGAAGGGCTCCAAGCCATCAGGGCCGTATGCTGACATTGAGGAAATTGCCACCCCAGAATCCTCTGCACCTTCCTCCCCCAAAGTCCACCATAATGGCGATAACCCTCGATTGTCATTGAAATCCTTAACCTCTGAATCATCATCAGGGTAAACCTCCCCCTGCAATCATCTCTTAAACTGACAGCACAGTAAATCTGCATTGGAACATAAATAAATTAATGTCGTTTATAAACACTGATGTGTGTAAACCGTAGATTATTACAGATCTATAGGGTTTCTGTACACACATGTTACTGTATCTTTGTTTGTTTTTAAGAAAATAAAATGATTTTCTTACTGTCTGTAATTTAGCCTTTGAATATTAGTTTTCTGGCTTTCAGTCTGATCTGCTTGCATCCTTCACACATGTCTAATGTCGTCTTATTTGAATGGAATATCTCCAGACTCTGTGAAGGAGGTGAGGTGCTGGATGATAAGGTTGTAACAGAACTGCGTACAGAGCTGTGGGAAAAGGAGCGTAAACTGACAGACATCCGCCTGGAGGCACTAAGCTCTGCCCATCACCTGGAGCAGCTGCAGGACGCCATGAACAACATGCAGGTATGTGTGATATGTTTAGGTTTCTTGCTAAAGAAAGAAAAGTTTTTTTCAGTTGGTAAAGGCGATTAGGATGGCAAAACTTTTTATCTTGGATCTTTTTCGTTTGAATAAAATGCAATTGTATCTTCAACTTTGAGTGCTTGTTTCTGACTTAAATACATATTATCTATTTGTTTTATGGATTTGAGTCCATGAGTTAATTTTGGCCGTTTTTCCACAATTAGTTACATGGAAATGTTTACCTTGTAATGCCTTACATTTTTTTTTGTTTGATGTCTAACTTGTGTATGCTGTTGTGTGTCAATTCTTACTGCTTTTATTGTTTAAAAAAGTGGTCTTGTGACACTTAATGTGTTTAAACTGAATTATTCCAGCAAATATTAAAATCACTACAGCAGTCGCATTGTGGAAGTGGCAGTGTGATACATGAAAATGGCAGCAACACTTGATGATTTTGTCTGTAGAGGACAGTGGAGAACCTGAAGGCTGAGAACGACCAACTGAAGACTGGTGGTCTGTCCCCCTGTCCTTCTCCTGGACCCTCCAGCTCCGTCTCTCAGTCCTCAGGTCTCACCACTCTGGGAAGTTCGTCACCTCGACAGTCAGTAGCCATACACATGCCCAAAAGCTACAGCAGAGGGCTGAGTGAGGGAATCAGCTCAGGTGCAGTTCAATCTCTGACATGTTCATGACAATGTAGAGTCAGAATGGTTTTACCAGTGTCAAACATGCTACATGATCTTTTTGTTTCTTTTTCTGTCCTCCTTTTTTTTTAATGACTCCTCATCAGATGTCCACTCTGCAGATTCTCTCAGTCTTTCCAGAGATGATCATCGTGTTAGGGTGGTGATTTGTGTTGCAGATTTACATGTCTTCAAAGATGTAAGTATGTTGTTTGTCACCTTTCCTTTGTCAGACCAATAAACATTATTGTAAATGTCTGTAACACCCATTTGTTGCACTTTGTATCACAGGAGGTCAAACAGCAGGATTTCTTTGTCGGCACTGTCAGGGTGAATGGCAGGATGGACTGGCCCATGCTGGATTCAGCTGTCAGCCAAGCTTTCAAGGTGAGTCGCTTTCTTCTGACAACTTCATTCAGTGTGACCTGTCCATGAACTGAATGTACAATTTTCATCCAGCTGTCACATTATGTTTAGCATGTTGTTACTTCAGAGAGCTGAGCTGCCGCACACAGGTGGAAACCAAGATACAGAAATAGCATCACGTTGGACTTCTGGTATCATGAAAATTGGCTTAAGTTATTTGAATTTACGGCAACAGGTGTATATATATATATGTGTGTGTGTGTGTGTGTGTGTGTGTGTGCCCAGTGAAGCCAAAGGGCATATAAGCAGGTTGTAAACCCCACTTTACAGATAGCAGAAGTTAGCTCTAAAACATCACAAGAAGTACTGTCTGTCTACACACACTAAATCCTATTTAGACATATTTACTCCATTCTCTTTTTCTGTTCTTTTCATTCCAGGTGTACATAGCCAAGGTGGACCCCACTTCCAGTCTGGGCCTGTCTACAGACTCCATCTACAGCTACAGTATGGGCCACATTAAGAGAGTGCTGGGAGGAGAAGCTCCGGAGGCACAGCCCTCTCGCTGCATGTCCAGAGGCCCCACTGGCATCACAGTGGCTCTGAAAGGTCTGCAGAGAAATGTTTTAGTTACTGTGATGGAAAATCATCAGGCCAGAATTGGTAGCAATTAGATGATACATACATTTTTAAAACACAAAGTTTAGTTCAGCATTGTCATGCATTTGATCAGAATTTGGGCTAATGAAATCTGAGCCCAAAGTCTCAGCTGAGTGCAAATCCACATGTCTGTCTGATTTTCAGAGCGACTACATTTGGGTCGGTCTGTCTTTATTACCATTCGATCCAATGTTGTTGTTTGTTTGTTTTTGCTTTACAACTCTTCTTTACGTCAAACTTGCATTCAGTTACATTGAACTGTGAGCTGTCCTCATCATCGACCAAAACATAAACTCAAATGACGCCATGACAGCTGATGAACTCATCAGTTCAACAACAATATAGTTTGTTGTTCTGGAAATAGCCATATTTCTTGCTTTTATTTGGTCAAATTATGCTTACAAACATAATATTATCTACTAGTAGAGATTTAAGTGACCTATATACCTTATATATATTTCTGTAACGACAGTGTTTCGGGTTGTAAACAGCACACATGTGGAGTCCATCAGTGATAAACCAAGGCTGTGATCACTGAGGGTTGTTGAGGGTTCTGGTTTGGTTGTCGACCCTTCTCCACCTTTGCATACAGGAATGTAAGGAGCGAAGTGCTAGGAGAGCTGGGAAAGCAGTGGCAGCCCAGACAGGGCTCTGGGTAACATGATCTCAGTGCAGCCAGGCCCAGCTGGTCGACCAGCCTCAGACACATGGGCCCCATAGATGTTAAGGGGGAACATTAGACTCCTACAGGCTGGTGGGGGTGCACAGACTCTACACTTGATGCAAAGTTATTTTCAGAGCAAAATGCTTGAACTCCATCTTGCTTATGAAGGAAATGCGAGTTGATATAAATCCATTTTCACAACATCTCCTTTCCTGGCCCTTCCTCTTTGTAATGTATGTTGTTTTTCGTTTATATGCTAACAGTATCAAACCACAGTTTATCACCAATTCTAATTTATGCAGGGCAATTACCAGATAGTCATCAACTTGATTATTTATTACAGCACAGTCCATTCTCACTTTTCTTCACTATGTTCAGGTTTGAAAGAGAAGTGTGTAGACAACCTGGTATTTGAAACCCTCATTCCTAAACCCATGATGCAACACTACATCAGCCTGCTACTCAAACACCGCCGCCTCATCCTGTCTGGACCAAGCGGGACGGGTAAGAGCTACCTTGCTTCCCGTCTGGCTGAGTACCTGGTGGACCGCAGCGCCCGCGAAGTCACAGAGGGCATCGTGGTCACTTTCAACATGCACCGCCAGTCATGCAAGGTAACCATATACTGGTGACCCGTGTGGATCTATACAACCATGGATTATTTGGTGTGTTGTCTGCTTCCTTGAGTCATCTTCCATCACACTTTCTCTCTCCTCTCTCTTTCTCCTTTCTTTCTGCAGGATCTGCAACTTTATCTTTCTAACCTGGCTAATCAAATAGATCGGGAAACCAGCACATCGGAAATACCGCTGGTAGTAATTCTGGATGACATTAATGACCCTGCTTCCATCAGTGAACTTGTCAATGGTGCTCTCACCTGCAAATATCACAAATGGTAAGCTCCACATACACAGACTGAAACTAGCTGCAGGACTATTTATGTGATCGTTTAATGTGACATAAACTGTAATCTTGTTCCTGCTCTCAGTCCGTACATTATTGGAACAAGCAACCAGCCAGTGAAGATGATTGCGAACCACGGCCTCCATCTCAGCTTCAGGTTAGTTAAAGGAACGAATGTGGGAGTATTTTCTTCTCCTGCAGTATTGTCTTATGTGTCATGACTGAATTTGTTCTGATTACATTGAAATTACATTTAAAGCTCACTGTGAAGTCAATACAATAAAAGCTGATCAATGGTAAAGCGTGAGTTAATGTGTTATATATGTTATCTGATACGGTATGATTTAATACGGGTTCACTTTGCTCAGTACCATGAATTCCAATATAATGAATTTACCTAGTTTCCTTGTTATGGAGACAAAATTATTGTAAAATAACATCTGAAATTTCTGCATAGTTGCACCTTTGAAAGTGACAGTCAAGACTTATTTTTGTGGCTTGAAGTCTAAATTCACTATTACCTGCACTTAAGATTATTCAAGTAACATTTTAACCTCTGCTTAAAATAGTGAATTCTACACTACCAAAACCGGAAAACACATCAAACAAGGGTCACGACTAAGGTGTCTATAAAATAAAGGATTTAACTGTAAATTTAGTATAGTAAAATTATTTGGTTAAATTAAACTGATTATGAGGTTTTTTTTATTAGTTGTATGATGCTCTCACATTGATGAAGGAAGAGAATATAGCCAGGTGAAATGGAAAAAGACTGAGATAAAATTTTTATAAATTTATTATTTTAGTGTTTTGATTGGGTTTACACAGTCAAATTATAGATCTCTCAATTTTCACCCAGACAATCACTATGGGTCTAATTTAAACTGTAAATGTTGACGTGTATAAGAGGGATAATGGCATAGCTAATAGCCCATATGCGGCTAATAAAGTAGCCTACTGATGTACACAATGACTTTTCATCATGTTAGGATGGTGACTTTCTCCAACAATGTGGAGCCAGCCAACGGCTTCCTGGTACGCTACTTGCACAGAAAACTGATGGAGTCAGAAGATGAGAGAAACTTGACCAATGAGGACCTGATCAGGGTCTTAGACTGGGTGCCCAAACTGTGGTATCATCTGCACACCTTCCTGGAGAAGCACAGCACGTCGGACTTCCTCATTGGTATGAAACACACTCTTATCAGGACAGGGCATGACTTTAGGGCTGAAGAATGCTGCATGTTTATTTTGTAAAATATCAAGAACTTTTTTATTTGTGTGAATGATGTAAAAATGTTGTCAGTGAGTACTTCAGTATGTTCTTATTTCTCCTCACGTCTCCTCAGGCCCGTGCTTTTTCCTGTCCTGTCCCGTCACGGTGGATGAGTTTCGATCATGGTTCATTGACCTTTGGAACCACTCTATTATCCCTTACCTGCAAGAGGGGGCCAAGGATGGCATCAAGGTACGAAACCACAGCCATCAAATCTAGGAAATGTTCTCCAGCTAGATCTTAGATTCATGAAGTGCTAAGGGCTTCCCTTTCACAGGAAGAGCTGTGCTCTAATTTTACTGTTACTGGTATGTTGTGACACTTCAGGTCCACGGACAGAAGGCAGTATGGGAGGACCCAGTGGAGTGGGTGAGGGGCACCCTGCCTTGGCCGTCTGCCCAGCAGGACCAGGCAAAGCTGTTCCACCTGCCTCCCCCCCAGCATCGGCTCCAGCAGCCCCGGTCAGACTTGCGAGGAGAGGCCTCACAAGGAGACTCCACCCAGCTCCATGGAATCTGATCCACTGGTAAAAGAGAGCACTTCATGGTCTATTTTTGTGATTTTTCTCAGAATTTTCAGCTTTGTTTAATTCCTAAAACTGAAATGGATCCTTTAGTATTGCTGATTTCTCGACTCTCTCTCTCTCTCTCTCTCTCTCTCTCTCTCTGTTATAGATGGCAATGCTTCTGAAACTCCAAGAGGCTGCCAATTACATTGAATCCCCAGACAAAGAAGACCCTAGCCTGCCTAAACTTTGAACACAAAGCTTATACTTAACACTTAGCACTTCAAATTACATTTTTGTCCACTGTAATGATGCAGTGCACATTCAGGAACAAAGACTAACCATCGGAAATGGTTGTAGAGGGATTTTGAACTGTCATTCCTGCAGTAGGTTAAATGTGTAACTAGGTAATTACAAATCATCTTAATACATACAGTATTTTCAAAAGTCTGTTCATAAGTATTGAATGAGAAGCTATATTGAATGATTTTGCTATATATTTGACTGGATGATATTCACTTCTGTTCACATCCCTTTACCGCCATGTTAGCTGTCAGTACTCTTAGATCGGTGCTACTAGATCACTATGAAATGTCTCAGCACTTAGACTTCAGGTGATTTTCTGCAACAGCACACGCAGTCCATCCTGTTTTGTGCTCAAGTGCATCATGGGATAAGGAGTGCTTGTCAGCAGGGGCTAATCTCAATTATGGTGACTCATTTTGGAAAAGAGTATGACAGCATGACAGATGCTACTGTTTATCGCAGAGTTCTTTGGTACATATCTACTGTATAAGTCTCTGAAGGCCAAATCTTATACATATGCAATCACTACCTTAACAACCCGAGCAGGTGAAACAAGTAAAATGCCTTAAGAACAAAGACGTCAGTGTCATCTCAACTTGAGCAGAGTATACTGGTGCTTTCATCAATATCATCCCAGCTACAACAGTTAACAGAAATCAGTTATTTCTCCTACTCTCTACATTATTTATTTCAATTAATCATCTTTTTTTACAGTTTGAAATGATAAAATATTCTAAGATAAATTATCAGTATACATTTTCACATGTTTTTACATTATACTCATTTTTATGGCTTATAAGTTGAAAAAGTAAACTTGCTGTCATACTCTTTTGCATTAAAAAAAAAAGTTATTTAATGGTGATGTGAGTTCATCACTTTGTTGCTGCACAGTGGCACATTTTCCAAGCACTTAATTTAGTTTTATGGGTTACTTTATGTAAAACAGTGTCACCAGTATTGCCATATATATCAGGTATTAGATACACAGGGATACTATAACAAACACCCTCTGATTAAACAGACTGAGCAAATGCTATTTGAATCCAGATTTCGATTGTGAATTCAGATTTTTTTTATATAACATTTATCTAGGAAAGAGCATTTGTTTCAAATCTTTGCCCCCATATTCAAAGTAGTTACTGTATATATCATGTACATACAATCAGGCTACATCATAGTTATTTTATCTATATTAGTTGGTGCAAATATCTAATATACTGAACCAAATACTGTACTTTAATCATGCATATTGACTGTCAAGTTAGGGGTTTAAGTTCAACTATGAATGTATAGAAAACACTTATTAAACATTTAACAGCATCAGTCATCTAGTAGGTGCTTTTAAAGGAAGCCTTATCACGGAGCTCCACTGTAAAACACTTTTAACGATGGCTGAGTGACTTTAAAGCCACCCATGCCCATTTCATTTGCGACAGTTCATGCACTTCACAAACAGAATTTAAAATGTCATTGTTAATGTTCCTCATGCTTATTATCATCATTTAGGGTACGTATGGTGCTCTTTAACAATGTCCCGAACTGTTAGTGGTAACTGATAGTGATGAATAAAGATCTCGTAGACTTTCAGGGTAGGTTAGCACACAGAGTATTGTGTCATAGAACTGTCAAACGCTAAAGAAATGTGAAATATGGATATCTATTTATCTGGGAGATAATGTTTGATATTTTTTAGGATGTGTTGTTGAAGTGTTGAAGACATTACGTAGAGACAAGTCATGAGAGACATTGTCTAGTGTACGTACGCCCATGTTGATATACAGTATTCAGAATGATTTGAGTACACAACACAGTTGCAAACTGATTATAGAGAGTATTTGTTCCATGGCAGGAGTAAAAAGCAAGAGATTGAAACCCTTTTTAAGATACTTGGTGTAGGTTTTTGTAAAGAAGCCCTAAGCACATAGTTGTGCGGAAATATTTCACCTGTTCATCCCGGGCTGTGTCACTGTTCAGGTGCTAAGACTAAACTTCACATGTACAGAAGTCCTGTAAATGAATGTCAGACCACTTTTGTGACAGCTTGATAAGAAAGTTTAACACTTAAAATTGTGTCTGAGCTGCTTATTGCTTTGTTATTGTACTGTTTGCATTAGGCTGATAGCTAAGCTGCAGCTCTGAATGGTCACCTGTAATCTTCAACATTAATGAGTTAAAGACATTAAAGAGCAAAAAAGATGCCAAATGGCCAGTGACCCTCACACTGGTCACATGCTGATAGAAAATAATTTCAGTTCTTGTAAATATTTCAGGTATTAGGCAGTATTAACAACCCCACCCTGGTCTGTTTCTGCAGGTTAACCAAAGCCATCAGCTCGAGCTTCTCATCTCATTCACTGGTTGTTGTGCCTGTTGCTCTGTAGTAGCTGTGATTTGTGTTTGCTTACTAGTGTATCAGGACTATGCAGCAACTTCTACTGGTGTTGGCAATCAGCAAATGTCTGAACTTCACGAGCAAATTCAGTGTGTTTTCATTTGGTCTGTCATTGAGTTCTTAATTTGGACCAAATTGCATCACATGATAAAAGCGGAGGGTTGTTTTAGCAGGTGATACCGAGCCTTAAGGAGGATTTGTTTGATGTTGCATTGAGAACAGGGTTCATAGATGTAGGTAAAAAAAATTAAGCTGTTTGGAAGCTGTTTGGTGTTTGTCCTTATGAATGGCCACAAAGGTATCATGACTGGACGTGTAAATGGTCAAATGACGATAATCAAACAAACAAAAAGATTAAAAATGAAATTAAGAGCCTAAAATAGTTTCATAAAATCGTTCAGCACTTCAATGTTTGCATAGTTAAGTAAGTAGTTTAGGTAGAATCAAACCAGATAACGAGATCAATCTGATATCTTGGGCCAATGCAGGTTGCTGAATAGTCATATTTTTGCAAAGCTTGTTGTGGACTAATCAGAAATTAAAAAAAATGTTATGCAGTAATGTCACTGATGTGCAAATGTTAAGGGGTTCTAAGTGTTGTAAATGCATGTAAACTTGCTGTGTGATGAGAAAAATGTTCACATTAATGTATTGTTTGGGAAAATCATGCTAGATAATGTTTTGTTTTCCTTTTTAATATTCAAATATTTGATATTTCTTTTTTTTCTTTTTTTAAAGAATCCTTTGTAAAACTTAATTTCTCTATTTTGTACAGGATATCATTGTAAAGATTGTAAATAGGTCAGCATTCTGGATGCGGCAACAATCATTGAGGGGGGAGGGGATCATTCTGGAGAGAAGGCATAGTTCTTCAGAGTTGGGTCCAATACATGGATAAGGCATGTTTCTGAAGGCTTTCATCCACCTGTCACTGGTTGTTGAAATCAATAAAATACATGTTATATTTATTTCTGCTTCTTGTGTGTCAATATGACCTTATATTAAGAACTATAAAAATAATCTAGTTATACATTATGTATATATGAATGATACTGTTCTGGAATTACCTAACAATTTCCTAATGATGCACAGTTAGGGTTGATGAGTGAGACTGGACGTGGCGGTCTGAGTCATACATGGTGCCCGGTATCTGTTACATGTTAAATTCATTAGGGGGCGGTGCCTGAACCTATTGGGCCCTATATAAGCGTGCTACCCCCGTAGGAATAGCGGCATTGGATCCAGTTTTAAGGACTTAACAGAGGTGGGATTTAGCTGCAACCTCCAACATGCCGTCCAAGCCTGCCCCAATCAAGAAGGCGGCTAAGAAAGAACCCGCCAAGAAGGAGGAGGAGAAGGCTCCAGAGCCGGCCCCTGCACCCGCCCCTGAGGCCGCACCAGAGGCCTCCCCTGCACCCGCTGAGGGCGAAGCTGCACCTGCTGAAGCGGCCCCTGCAGAGGGAGAGGCCCCTGCTGCCCCGCCAGCTGAGGAGCCCAAACCACCCACCCCTCCACCCGCAGATGGTAATGCACCGAGCGCAGCGTCGGTGTGAGCCATGAGTTACCGTCGGTTATACAGTTAACAGTCCACCTTCAGTATGTTTCTCAGTGGATGTTTCTTGGATTAGTTGTTTAACCTTATTTAAGCCAAGGTAGTCGGTTCCTCTCACGGTAAGCACGCGGCAACCTTTTACGCACGTGCAATTGTTCGCGCTCAGCGTGAAGGTGCAGTAGGTAAGGAGTTGTAGTCATCGACATAAAACGGAAAATGCATGGTTATTGCATAAACCACCTGCTTGGAGTCTTTTAACATCTGACTACCTCATTTCTTGAAGTCACTGAAAGTCTTACTCGTGCGCTTTTTGCGCTTCAGTGGCTCATTGCCTTCTTTTAGCAAAACTGTGTGGTGTTAACTTGTAAAGTCGTTGCTAATATGCGCTCTTATACCTCAGTGAAAGCTCCATCTGGACTCCCAACAAGCTAACATGAACTTAAATATCTAAATAAATTACCAAGAACACTCTGGTCAAGGTGGTTGGCTGTGCTCATTCTACACGACTGGCGTATAACGCATAACAACACTTGTTTTATTAAAATATTTCTTTACTATTTCTAATATTTAACACCATATTCAGTGTAACATGATTCCGTCATCATTCTAACATCTAATATCTACATCAGCTGCTCCACTGATGAAGCTGCTGCTCCTGTTGCTGCAGATCAGCCAGCCGATGCTATTATACCCTGAGCGGAGTATCTGCCTTACCATCTAACTTTGTCTTTTAGATTTAACCTATTTCATAACATTTTGAAAATGTAGAGTCATATTTTCGAAATGTTATAGCCCATATCTACTGATCTTCTAACCTATAATATCAGCTGCTGCACCCGCTGCAGAAGAAACAGCTTCTGTTGAGGCCCCTGCTGATGATAAACAGACATATCAGTGGATTAACAGAGATTTTATATAAGTATTAAAACTTGAATTTCCCACAGCAAAGCTAGCTACACTAATATCTAATGCTAATATCTTCTAACCCCTACTATCAGCTGCTGCTCCTGTTGCAGAAGAAACACCAGCTGTTGCTGCTGAGGCCCCTGCTGATGGTAAAAAAGACTGTCACATGAGCCACAACAGATATGTTATAGATAAGTCTCATTAAAGATATATTGTTATTACATTTGAATCTTCAACCTCTTACACTAAAGCTAATGTCGCTAACTGACTTCTTTATAACACTTTGAACACAGTCTGCATTTTCGACACATTCTTTTTCATCCGGTAGAACTTGTCCCATCTGCTTCTTGCACTAATTATTAATATATAACATTTAATAATAGCTGCCACAGAGGAAGCTGCTCCCGCTGCTGACTCTGAAGCACCTGCTGATGGTAAACCAACCTGCAAAAACAGAACATGTTCCCGTTCACTCTACTCTCTGTAATATCTGAGAGGAATTTGTCATGTAAGAATAACAAATAACAAGCCCTTCAGCATTAGCATTGCAAATCATTTGACCTCCCAGTATGGGAGACAGAGAGCTAAGCAGGTACATAAGTGGATTTAATTTGATGCTGTAGCATCGCTCTGCTCATTACATGCTGCCAATAATAATGCAAATGCCTATTTAACATCAGCTGAAGCTGCTGAAGCGCCTGCACCAGAGGAGCCTAAAGCACCCACACCTCCACCACCTCCACCCAAAGGTAAACCTCTATTCAGAAAGAAAACTATCTCAGAGTGACATGATTCTATTTCCACTATGTCTACAGTGTTAAGATAAAGAAGTGCGCCATCACCTCTTTGAATCGATATCTGATTTGAATGATTTTGTGTATTTCTGCCATTTGTAAATGTCAGTTAAATAATTGAATGTTTTTTATGGCAGAGCCCACAAGTGCTCCACTAGATCTGTTTATTGAGGATAAGAATGACACTTCAGTTACAATCATTTGGAGCCAGCCAGAGACCATTGGACCAACTGGTCTGGATGGATACACCATTGAAGTGTGCAAGGATGGAAGTAAGTCATGCTCTGCTTTTGACCAGGTGCACATGCATGTGTCAGATTATTAATACACTTTGACAAAAATGTCAGCTGACCTTTAAATTATGTTGAAAGCTTTTCTTTCAACAGGTGATTTCAGGTTTGTACATTAAGCATAATTACATCTGTACTATTTATATTACTAATTTATTATTTCTGTAATGTTTAAATGCTTTTTAAATATACTCAGGAACATGTTAAATTGCTGTTTTAATGTGGGTCAGCCATATCAGTTGCAGCTGTCCCTGAAGTGTCACTGGCAGAGTTATATCATGAGCTACCCAGCTTCTCCCTACAAGGAAAGAGGCATTTCAGGAGCTGCTAGTAGTCTTGCTGTATGTCCTGCTTTTAGACTTACAGCCCTAAGCTAATATCAGCAGCAGTTCAATGTAGGCTTGATTTAGGAGACAGGGCACGCTGATTACCCACAGAACAGCAATTTCATGCCTAATACAAAAAATGTGCATCAAACATAATCACTCTAAAGACATTACAAAGCTACACAACGAGAAGTGCTTAGTGTTCTGATGTATTAATTCTATATGTCAACCTCCTACATAATCACAGTCTTTATTTTATAATATCAGGATAAACAAAAGCTCTGTAAATTGCCAGTCTATCTTCACTTTGTATAATTTTCCCATTCAGCTGAGGACTGGAAAGCAGTCAATGAGGATCTGCAGAAGTCCTGCCGCTATGTTATCAAGAACCAGACCACCGGTGACCGTCTGAAGATCCGTGTGGTGGCTGTGAATGCTGGTGGCCGCAGCCCCCCTGTCGCACTCCCCGAGGCTGTCCTGGTGAAGGAGGTCGCTGGTAAGAAGAGTTCACAAAGACAGACAGCGAGATCCATCTCAGCACAGGACATCACTTAACATGTAGTAACAACAGAGTGTACATTTTCAGCATGATATATGAACTACTTGATGTGTAATTTTATCACGAAAGAAATCCCCAAAAAGGTTAGATAAGATAAACTTTATTGATCCCATTCCCAAATTAAAGCATCATGGCAGCAAAATTAAGGACAAGAACAGCTGCATCAAATAGCTAAGTAACTTTTAAAAACACTAGAATACAATATGAGATTTAAATGCAGAAACGTGAGAACATTTTATATTTTAGATATGTGCACAAATACAGGCACTCAGTGGCATCAAGAAACACAAAAAAAAGGCTTTTGAAGGCGTTATTCTGTGTATCATCTTCTATATCCAAAATTTAGCCAAAGTAAAAGGTATATAAATACTACATACACCATACATATGGGCACATGGGCCTGGACCCTAACTCCAAAATTACCCAAACTTAAAAACAAATTGCAAACAGGTCTAATTAATGACAGATATATTTTATTTCAATTTGTAATGGGTTTATTTCATTAGGACCGTTCATGAAGCTACCACAGAAGAGAAAAAAGTAAACACATAATAGAGCAAGCTTCTCTCACATGATACGTGATTAGCTTGATCCATTTGTAAAGTTAAACAAATATAGGACATACTATTATACAGGTTGGGCCTAAACATTTAGAGCCATTTATTATGGCAAAGGGGAGCTGTAAAGTGTAGGAGTCAAACAGAAGCAGCTCAGCAATGTGTTCTCCTCAGCTGTCCGTGTCCTGTTGGCACATGCCAGCAGTGTTAACGGTATAAAACTCTGGTCTTCTCACTCGTTTCCACTTTGAGTTGAAACGCTGATCCACCCAACCACAGTGTGATAATTACACACTTGTTAAGTAGACCGTTTTAGTGATGCTGTACACCTTACGGTGTTAATCATAGATAGTATATCTAAAGTGATTTGCGGTAAAATGATTATTGGACCCCGAGGGCTTTAAAAGGAGGAGCTGCTCACTCACAAATCATCGTTACGCGGAATGGAGAGCTGAATGTGGGGGGGCAACTTGATCCCAGCTGGACTAGCAATATTTCAGTAGTCATATCCATGTTCACCGTGATGTTCGCTAGAGCAAGAGGTCCACATATAGAAACTTATGAATGGTTTCCGACAAAATGACCACAAAGCTTTGGAAAAAATACCTGGGATGTCACTGCTATTAACATGTTTTTTTCTGTCGAGGGGTTAGCATTGCATTGTGATCCCTGGTGGGGTTCATGCTGAGGGAGTGTCAGTCTCCCTCCTGCAAGATCGATGGTGACAAATGATCTGACTGCAAGCAGGTGGGGGCTGTGGGGAGGAGGGAAATGGGGGGGTGCTAAATTCCAGTATGTGTCCTCTCTCCGCGTACTGAGTGGGTGTGGGTGGTGGACATGGATCTAACTTCTCAGGTGACGCCCAAATCTCATGACACTTTGAGAGATTCACTGTTTATTTTGAAACATGCCACAGACTTTACAGGGAGAATGTTCATTAGGCCTAATCCTCTCTGTATGAAGTGATAAGACACTTAACATGTGGTATATTTCTGCTAATATATAATTTATGTTCCAGTTTATGTTTGCAAAGCAGTTGCTTTAGTCTGCTGTCTTATAGTCTCTGTATCCTGCTTAATTTATTTATGATTTTAATGCATTCTTTTGGGAGTTAAATTAACTGCAACTCCTAATCGTGCGTCATGAGGGGATGTGATATACTACAGTACGCCTGCTTTATTTAGAGTCCTGACAAATGTTGCTCTGCTGGACTCAGCAGGTGGTGCTTCTCACCAAATCACTTTTACAAATGAGCCTCAGCTGAGGCTTAAGTGTCATTTCAAACGTCACAGTGGCTAACTATCCTCATGATTTGATTTTTATGATGATTGATGGGCTATTTTGGGATTTTTACGAGCCAATACACAGTGGAAGGAGATAGGTAAGGTTATAGAGGAGAGACAGGATCCAGGGTCTCGCAGTTATATGGTACACACACAGTATTTGTGAAATGAGCAACCAGGGCACCACACCCCTGAGATATTCTCGTACCTCTTTATAATTATAATGATTCTGATTCCCTACCTGCAGATTTATACCTTTTTCAATAATGTGTCAGTTCAACAAACTGCAAAATACAAGGGAAGGGAAAGAAATCACAGATACAATACAGTTGTAATATGAGTTTGAGTGAAAATTAAATTAACAAATATATAAAACAACAATATAAACAAATGCAAAAATGCCCTCATAGGCAAAGCAGAGAAGGAAATCATATAGCCAAAAGAACAGCACACACAGATAAAAACATACACATATATTAACTATCCTGCTTTTCATAGATTCCTGTCTTCAAGTATAATATACTTTTCATTTTATTTACCTTCATTATAATCTCTACAAAGTCCTATGTTCTGTTTTGTTGCTTCAACATATCATGCTGTTAAAAAACAATAAAATGAAATGTATGCACCACCGAGTAGACAGATACATAGCAAAAGGGATAAAGGACTTAGAATGTATACAACCAGTTAAAACACAGATGGCACCAGTGAAAATTTCCTGGCTTAGATCAGCTCAGCAGGTTTATCAATGTCCTCAAGATTTGTTGGTCACAAAAAAGGAAATGTAATCCTCTTGTTTCACTCCAAACATCTCTTAACAGATCATTACAATCCTTTTCAAGATATTTCTTCATTTCACTGTTCCCCTGTGGAGCTATCAGCTAAAATAACTTCAAAAAGGTGAAAAGATAATAATCATTGGTTCATTCATTCATTGTTTTTCTTTCTAGATCGTCCCAAGGTCCGCTTGCCTCGTTTCCTCAGGCAGAGATACGTCGCTCAAGTTGGAGCTAAGATCAACCTGACCATCCCCTTCACAGTAAGCTGAAGATGACTTTTCCTGTGAATGCATGATTAATAAACTACATAACTCTTCAAAATTCACTGTCTGATTTATTGTTGTGTTTTTTTACCAGGGCAAACCCAAACCTGTGGTCACCTGGACGAAGAATGGGCAGCCTCTGGACACAAAGAGGGTGAACATCCGCAGCACTGAGAGAGACAGCATCCTGTTTATCCGTGCAGCTGAGAGAGATGACTCTGGAGTATATGAGATGTGCCTGAAGGTGGACGACTTCGAGGACAAGGCTTCACTCGTCCTTCAAATTGTCGGTGAGCAAAATTTTGAGAATGTGTCAAAAAGAGGAAATAAGATTGGCTAACCAAAATGCAGTGAAGTGTTAAAATGATTTTTTTCATTTGATGAGATGAGATTTAAAGCTGTACTTGATACCTGATCAGTGCCCGGTTGTTCACAGAGCTGCCAGGGCCTCCTGCCAGTGTAAAGATTGTGGATACCTGGGGCTTCAATGTTGCTCTGGAGTGGACTCCACCCACCGACAACGGAAACACAGAAATCACAGGTTACACAATCCAGAAGGCCGACAAAAAGACTGGAGTAAGTTTGCAAGGTCATAGTGTATGTGTGTGTATATATACATATATATATATATATATACACACACACAATGTATTATATACACAATATATTATATTATGATTATTAATAGAAAGATAAATTACATACAATAAATCCTGAATCCCCAAAACATCCTCTGCTAATTCATCGCTTCCTCACTGTGTGTGTGTGTGTGTGTGTGTGTGTGTGTGTCTACAGGACTGGTTCACTGTGTTGGAGCATTACCATAGACTGAATGCCACCATCTCTGACCTCATCATGGGCAACACCTACAAGTTCAGAGTGTTCTCTGAAAACAAGTGTGGGATAAGTGAGGACGCTACTGTTGCAAAGGAGGAGGCTAAGATCTTGAAGACAGGTAACTTTCACTTTTGTTGTTATTTATTTCTGTTTTCTCTGAAGTCATTGTGTAATTGATCCTTCCTTAGCTTTTTAATTTTGTTGTAGACAGGTTCTTAACTACTGATTAACTACCGAGCCTATATTAACATTGCCTCTATCTACTAATAGACTTTTAATCAGCCAGATAGATTCAAATTTGAGCACGGAAGTTCATTCTTGACCTTTGACGTATATACTGAAACTATACAACCTAAAATCAATAGTCCACTTTTAGCAGACTCTAAGATAAGGTTGAAAGCTCAGAAAGCTAATAAATGGACCTTTAATCGTAAATTTGTAACCGAATTTTCTCATCCGCTGATACAGTAGGTTCTTTATTGACGAAGATGCATACAATTGTAAGAGTACCAGAAATTAGCATGTCAGAAAATCCATCATACCTTGCCAAAATATCATTCAACCTAACTAGTGTGAATGTTTTTCACACTAGAAGCAGTTTAGGAGTCCGTTTCTCTTCCATCCTCCAGGTATTGATTACAAGCCTCCTGAATACAAAGAACACGACTTCAGCGAGCCTCCCAAGTTCACCACGTCTCTGACTGACAGAGCCACCACTGTTGGCTACAGCACCAAGCTGCTGTGCTCTGTCAGGGGAAGCCCAAAGGTACAGTAACATTTTTTTATGCTCAACCAACATCATGTCGGGCCATTTTTCCACTAAACTGAGAGCATCAGTAAACCATTATCACTACAGTAGCACCAAATGCGAGCACTGGAACTCCACAAGTTCTGGGTCCCTTGGTAGGGATGATGTCTAAAAACATAATAGTATGTTTTAGTAAATGGTTGGCAGTATGTAATGGCTGAAACCTACAAAGAAATCATTTATACAGTCCTGGCCTTTGGTATGTTGAAATGCAGAATTTTACCAAGCTATAATTTCTTACTGATAAACAAGTGTGCATTCACTGCTAGGTTATACCATAACACCAGGGTGCCATTGCTCAAACTACTTGTCAGTAGCTTGACTGTCAGCTGAGAAGGTATAAGATCTTCCATCTTCACCTGGCTGCTGTCTGAGCCTCTCACCTCCTGTTTCGGTTTATAATCCCACCGGGTCGCCAACAGGAAGGTAGTGTAGTTGGTCTTGATGAGAAGGCTGGAATTGGTATTCTTTGCAGTTGAAACAGGCAAGGAGGAGAAGAGTCCATTATGGATGACAGGTCAGCTGGGACGCGGGGTCACATGTGTAACATTCCCTGTGGGGCCCCTAGAGGTTCTTACCATGTCAGTGCCATTAAAACTCCCAAACCGGGTGTATGCTGTGTGTCCACTTCAATCAAAAGTTTTTTTTTTCCTGCCAAGTTGCACAAACATAAATAGAAACGCTGCTGCTGCTTGTTTGTTTGTGAGATGATGGTTGTGAGGGGGCGAGATGGTTAAATATAATTACCATGCATAAAAAAATTCTGTGTTTCTCATATAATTCTCATATATTGTTATGTTTTTTTCTATAGCCAAAGGTTATATGGATGAAGAACCAGATGATTATTGGAGACGACCCCAAATTCAGGCAGATCTGTGTCCAGGGTATCTGCTCTCTGGAGATCCGCAAGCCTGGTAACTTTGATGGTGGTGTGTACTCCTGCAAAGCCAAGAACGATCTCGGAGAAGCAACTGTCAGCTGCAAGCTGGAAGTCAAACGTAAGTCAAGATCTCCTTTAGGTTGTAGCATTTCCTTTGCCAGTATTTGAGTTTTAACCTTCAGAAAGATAATACTTTGTCTTTCTGTTAAACAGAGCCGGTGGTTGCAGATGCTGACAAGAAATAGGTCAACATTCACATTCTCACAGGTCAGAAATGATTAGGAGCTTGTCTATCAACCTTATAAACTATACATGAGAATGTAGTCTAATTATATTAAACTTGGAGTAAGTTACTAGTTATAAATTTGTAAAATGAATGCAATGACAGCTTGACAATTAAACTGCATGTACTGGATAGGTTGATCTATACGAGTCCTGAGGTGACATCTGACATCTCCTGACTTGCTTTCCATACATGGAGGGCACTAAACTTGGAAGAGGTGGCCTCTGCCTCTGAAAGAGTCCAAGAGGTAGCACCCATAAATTCAATCTGTAATGGCTCCTCATGTTAGGTGACTTAATCACATTTCCTTGACTCAGCAGCAGCAGCAGCGGCCTCCTTTAGGACACTGAGATAAAGCATTTTATTTGCAGGTTACTCACATTTTAGAGCTTTAATCTGTGTAATGTCGTGGTTTTATACAATACTGAATTACTTAGAAAACTGTATTTAAAAACGGAACACAATACTCTTTTTTTATTTGACTAATTTTCTTTTATTCTTTATGTGATTCTGAATTGTTGCCGTCTCGACAACTGCAGTTCCGACTCCTTTTAACACCTGTTGTTGTTATTTGTTCATCTGTTGCAATCCCAAAATAGGAGCAGAAGGAATGAGGTCTTTGCGGCATAAGGTATGTGACACTTTTAGCGTTTCTAAAACTGTCGTCCATAATTATTAATAAAAATTTAAAATCACTTCTTTGTCTTTACAGGAAGGCACTTGGTTCCTGGAAGAACTTGTATATATGGCTGCTGACCACACTACCAAAGGGTTGTTGCCTGTGACCTCTTTCTGAGCGGTAGCCTGTGTTATGATGAACAATTGTTGTGGCTTTATTCCTTTATCACTACATTATTAGGTCCATATCCATGTCCACAATCAGCTTTTTCCCCAACAATTCTCCCACACAGTCTTTGGTAACTAAATCATCACATGTTCCAAATACTGTAACTCCCTAGTTCATCAAGTGTAACTAGGTGTACATCAAGAATTTTACAACATGAATTTACAGTTCCTCATAGGAGAACTACATATAACATCTATGTGTTTATATCAATAAATAATTTAATTTCTGGTTTTGTTTTTTCAATACAGTGTGTTCTTTAAATTGAAATCTGCAGAACAGTTAGTGTAAAGGCTACGATTGTGTACAAAAGGTTTAAAAGACTTAATATTATAGCGCTTAACATATTAACCTGTATTAAATAAATATAACTCTTTCTGTGCATAATTGAAATGAGAAATTAATCTAATGTGGTAAAGCAAGGACAATCATGCATGTAGTACTGTTTTTATAGATTTTGTATTTTATACTTTTGGCTTATATGGATTTATATATTTTTAAATGAGAGACTGAAAGGCTGAAAGTGTACATATTTGATAAATTCATTTTATGGCTTTGCAATTTCCTTATAATTTCCAGTAATATTATATGAAGAAAGAACTATGCAATTTGGTGATTTTAGGAAAAAATAATATAATTGGTATACACCAGTACTCCATAAATTAATTCCAAGCATAACCTAAAGAGTCTCTGATCAGTGCAGAGCTAAGAATGTGTCTACAGACAAGCACACAATAAAGCACTATATAATATATAGCACTAATAAAGCTTCCAGTAATAAGTGAATGGCAAATTAATATTTACTCAGGTTTGAACTGAACATTTCTTTATAGTTAGTACCAAATTTGGAAGATCTTTTCATAATAAAAGTTTACCAAGGTTTTAAAATAAAATGCATAAAACACATTCAGTGTTTCAGTTTGTTTACAAGACTGACAGGCAAAGCTAAAGCAGAAACCTAATGTATCCAAAATGATTTAATTACTTTGGACTACAGTTTCACTACAGCTATTGAACGTATGAAGCCCTTCTGGCAGCATACCAGTGAGAATCTGGAGACACCAGCACTATTCATTTGGCTCAATACAGACCCAAGAGTACATCACAGGATGCCAGGACTTCCATAATAATAATACCAGTCTATAATACTGATGTTGTAACTATTTAGACTTGGGAGTTACTGGCATAATGACAGGATTCCAGAGATATCCAGGTTACAGAGACACATGGGTTCACACAGAGGGTGACAAAATTAGCCTCTGTGCTCCATCTCGCTTAGGTTATTTTGGGAACAAGAGGCTCGACTGACAATGTGCTTTTCTGTTAGAAAACTGAAAGAGTGGAAAGAAAATCACAGATGAAAATGGAAAAGAATGCAAATGGAAGGGGAGAATGTCATCAATATCTACATTTAGGTAGGTGGTCGCTGCGTCTACATGCACTGCCGTTGCCATTTAAAAGATTGGAGACACAATGTTTCCCTCCCTGACATGACTATGTTCAGGCTGCCGGATTTTATACGTAAGTAGTTTTTCCTAGCCGCATACACCCTTAGTATGACTGTGTAAAGATAGTGAGGAAGTGTGTCTTGAGTGTGCTGCATAATCAGAGATTTAGCTCCACATTTGAGTAAACAAAGATAGTCTGACTCTTTGAGTGTGGCGTACTCTAGTGTTACAATTGAGTAATGACATCTGCAGGCCTCCCTGAAAATGGGATGACTGAAAGAGCCATTTAATGTAAGTGTAGAATAAGCTGCTGTTTCCACATCTGAAAAAGGAAGAGGTAGAATTCGATAATCAAGAAAGATCAACACAGTTAACTGCTCATTTAATTTACAATCCACTGAATAGACTTGTCTGCCATTCTGAGCCGCATACTCGCACAATTAGCGTCGTGCAGCTTTAACCTGTGGGCTGGGAGCCATAATGGGTCTCAGGCCTACTTCTGGTGGGTCCCTGGATGCTGACATGCTGCAATAGGGTCATGAAACGAGAGACTTGCTGTCTAATTTAGGTCCTGCACCGAGAATGTTTCAAACCTCAGAAGAAAACCATAATGAAAAAAATCACCGATGAATGATGTAGGTAAGTGCATATATAAAAATAAATGAAAACAATATTCCCTTATATGTTTGTAACTTATAATTCAATTCCATTTGTTACAGTAACCTTCACATTCAAAATTCGAACGAAATACAGAGTAATTTATAGGTTATATGTAGAATGAACAGTAAGGGATAGATATAAATACACTAAGATATTTACAGTATGATGATTATGAACATGTGTAGCAGTTACCAAAATATATAGTGCATATAAACAGTAGTATAGATATGAATACACCATAGGTGATATATACAGTATGGACAGTAGTAGTAGTAGTAGTTGTAAGTTTGTGGAGTTTAATTTGAATCAGAATTAGCTTTATTGCCAAGTAGGTTTACACATACAAGGACAATTTGCTTTTGTATTTTGGTGCAGAAGAGTAATATTTGGGCAAATATCAAATCTACAAGGTCTTGTTTAAGGACAATTTCAGCAGTACCAGCAGTGTGCGTCTGTGGATGGCAATGTTGCTCTGTTGGTGGGTAGTTAGCGAATTGTTTCACCATTCCATTTTCATTTTATGGGGCTCATTAAATTCACTGGTTCACTTTTATGAAACCAGACGTACATGGCTGCTTCAGGCACACATTCAACCTGTAATCTCTGTGCTGATTTATCTCAGTTTCTCTGTTTCATCTATTATGATTTATTGCTATGAAGTCCAGCACGACGCAATCACAAAATATCCTGTGGCTGAAAAATTGGATCCCATCAAAACTTTTCTCCGTCACTCCCCCCTCAAGCGGGAATAGAAGCAAATAAGCACAGCAGGATGGAAAGTTCATAAAATGGCAGGATGCTTGAGTGATGCAGAGTCTCTGACTCATCTGGTGGTGTTGCTCTAATAATGCACTGCCTGGTTGCTGTTATGTCAAGGGTAACGCCAAAGGCAATAAAACGGTGTGTCCTCCTTGAAGGGAGCCTGCCTGCTCTTTGCTGCAGAGGTTTTGGCAACTTTCCCAGAAGATTTAATAAGTGTAATGGTGAAACTGGCACTCACACCATTGTCCTGTTGTTGCTTTTCATTAACAAATGTTGCACTGCTAAATCACCGGGATAGACTGAGGACACTTTTTATTTGCCTTAGACTTGGGCATTTAAGGTGGTATGAGGAGTTGATGCCGTTATGTACAGGGATTCTTCCTCGTTATTTTTGTTTTTTTCAAAAGCCAAATAATGTCTCTGAGATCTCTTATTCACCGGTCTTCACAGAGAAAATATCTATCTATCTAATAGTTTGAAGGGATTTGACTTTGTATATTTTGTGCTGCTTCATTGGCTGAAGTAAACAGTGATGCTCAAAACCCAGCCACGCATTGAATGGATTTCCCTGGTAAAACCTGCAGTGACAGCGTGATATAGCTCTCCTCAGCTGTCCAGTGTAGGAATGAGGTAGTCTATTGATTTCAGATGGCAGAATGAGACTTCATTAAATCAATTTAATGAAATCTGAGGCTCTGAATTGTTGAGTGGGAAGGACATTAAAAACATCAAATGTCAAGTTGTTGAACTGAATGTTTTGTCTGCAGGCAGCATTATGCTAGATTTAATGTTCTTCTACAAAATACAGTTGACTCCAGCTGGACTTTCACATTTTTTGTTAATTAGATGACTCTATACTCGCTGTCTCCCTAATGAGGCAGCAGCAGTGATCTGTGTCACTCCTGCAGCTCATCCCACCTTCTGCTCTTTTAAATTATTCACGAGTTACATGTTAGATGCCTGTAAACAAGGAAGAGAGGAACTAGTTGCCTTTTTATGTTTCTGCTGCTGAGTCTGCTGGACTTCAACTGCTGCTGGGGAAAAAAACACTTCCCATCTGTGTTCTGCCTGCCTATACTGCAGCAAAACCAGCCTAAGCAGGCCGGTAACCCCCCCTCACCCCCCTTCTATCCTCTCTGGTCCTTACACCTCACTGCACTCAGGTTCCTGCAGAGTTCCTGCAGGAAGGAGGCACAGGACCTAAAATCAAGGTCTGCATGAGCCACTGCAGACTCCTGGTTACCATCTTCACCTCTCCATTCACCACCTCATCGATTCCCCTGCTTTCACAATTCCTTCCGTCTCCTCGCTCTCTTCCTCTCTTCCCTCCTGCGTCTAATTCTCAATGCTCAGCACTCCCTGTCTCCCTGTACTGAGGGAGAAAAAGTGAGTGCAAGAAAGAAAAGAGGAGGAGCACAGTTAGTGCGCCACAGAAAATCTACCCCCACCCCCAATTGATGACAAGGAGGGTTTTTATTGAGTAGCTCCTCAGCCAATGAGCAAACAGTGCCGGGAAATACAGCAGTGGAACTGCACCGGCTCTGATGCTTGTGCTGATTTCAGTGTTAGAATAATGTTAACCTGTGTGAGTGTTTCCTCTCCTGTCTGCCTAATCTGAGTACACCTCAGCAGCCCCTTGAGCAAAGGAAAGTGTGTCTGCTCATTGGACAGAAACACCCCCAGCTGAAACTGGGACCTGCTTGCACTGGGGTTTAGAGATGTCTTTTAATATTGGGACGAACCAAAGTTCAGATTGTTAAGATATTTTTCTTCCTGTCAAGAGCATATCTGACCCTGTTCTCTGCATTCGCTCCTTTTTTAGGAGGCAGCAAATCTCTCTTCAAGGTAAGCGGCATTTTTTCTTCTCTGTCCAAGACTGCATCATCAGTTACTGGGGCTTTGCTGCGTGCCAGGTTGTCACAGAGGCACCTAGCCTCATTACACACATCTTGCCTGAATGTGGGAAAAAAAATCTCTGCAGAGAGAAAAAGAGAGACTAAGTGGCTCAAGGGTAATTAGAGCAGACAGTGCTAGCGTTTTGCCAACCGCCTTTCATTTCAATGCAGAGTCTGAAAGTAATAGCGAATCTGCCTGTGTGGAACTTTTACAGCATGTGTGGTGCGTAGCATCATGTAGTGCTGCAGTATAATGTTACATATTAAAAACAATCCTGTGTGTGAGGGTACAACTTGAGATGGGTATTTCTTGCACTGTAGCAAGAACACTCATTTGTTGCTTATAATCTAGATATGTAAGATTAAAAGGGATTTGTATTTGATTTTTAATACACAGGTATAATAATAATAAAAAAAAGAAAAGGAGTAGATAGAAAAGTTAGAGATGAAAATCAGTAAGATTCTATTTTTGTGTTTTGTTTTGTTTTGTTTTTTTGTTTTTTTTTACAGTGTTACAGTCTTTAGATGGGTGATGGGAGTCAGCTAACTGTTATACAGTAAAAGCTTTGAGGAACTATGTGCTAAGTCAAATCTGCTGAGCCAGCAAGAGTGAAGGGCCCACATAAGAGTCTGCAGAGCGCACGCATGTTTATATATTACTATTAGCTGTTTAATGCCAAGTCCATTGCAACCTTTTCTTTAAATGCATTTTTGTTGAATATTTCCTTCACTGACTGTAGTGGAAGGTGGTTGAAGATAAAGCTCTCATTAACATGCATTTAAATGTTGCGCATTACAGCCTCAGATGGACACTGATTACATTGTAGCTTGAATTTTGTTATTTATTTGCTCGTCATTTATAAGCAGCACAATCTCTGTACTTGGCCTCACAGACCTCTCCCATGTGGATATTCCCCTGTTTTTCTTGTTGATCGAACTGTTTTATTTTCAGCCACAGATTTGGCCAAATTATCTTTTTTTGGTGTTGTATGTTCCTGGGCTATAATGCAGTGGTGTGAACTGATCAGGTGATGCAGTGGTTTGTTCAGTCCCCGGGGCTGTTATGAGTACATGACTGGGACATTCCTGAGTATGTGAGCTAAATGAGGACTTCCTTTTGGCATCAGCAGAGGTGGATCAAGGGGTGTGTAGCTGCAGTATGACTGTACTCACACACACATACTAATACTGACACAAGCAGCTTTTCCATCCCACAATATGTACTCGCCTTGGTGCATTTTGTGCTGCAATACATGTTTAACAGGTTCAGTGTAAAATGTCTTGATATAGCAGATATACAGTGAATGTAGAGTAAACGTGTGACTTAAGAATGAAATAAGAGAGCAAGCTTATGCTTATATTTAGCAATATACACTTAAAATGTTGATGTGTTTCCCCTCTACAGTATTACCTCTTTTATTAACTGTTAAGACAGACATGATTAAGTTGCTAATTTGACTAATTAAAAAGGGTTAGAGAGAGCAAAAGATTAATTGCAATGTACAAAGCAGTACAGCAGTACATTTAACAAATGGCAAGAGAGGAAAAATAGTCAGATGACATATTTTTGAATATCATATTGCATCTAAAGTTGTGCTTTCTTGCTGAATTAGCATTTAGCGGTACACTGAGAGGATTAATCATACTGCACAATTTTGCAGTCTGTGCTTGGTGTCTGGTGATGAAGTCAGCGTTACAGCTCTTAGATTTGATTACATTGGAGGGTGTCCAGTTATAAGAATTGTACAGTACTATCCATGACGAAAATGCAAGAAAGCTGCACACTAATCTTATAGCCATTCTAGTGGTGTGGCTGTAGGGATGGCAATATCGATCAGTCGGTGAGTTGGCCCACCAAGCTGACCCAAACTGAAATATCTGAACACCTATTAGGTGGATTGCTTTGAAATGTGTTAAAAAGCTTTATTATTGTGAGAGGAAGAATCCTGCTGACCTTTGTGATCCCCTCACTTTTACTGTATGTTGTTGACATTATGGTTTTGAGTGAGGCATCCCGACCACTGTATATGAATTACAATGAACCATTGGGTCAGCACATACGAGAAATTTGCTTTGGTGATAAGGTGCTACATGTAGACAAACATACAGTTGACATATATAAATGTAGAAATATATAACTATGGAATGAACAAATGCAATTAATATAAGAATAATAAAACAATAGAGAAAAATAATACTATTTGCATAGATAGAACATTGTGGCAGATATTGACATGTGCATTACTCCGGTTTGTGTTGTGCAGAGCATTGAAACAGAACAGAATATTGTGTACATAAATATATAAATTGACAAAATATAAAAATATAAAACAACGATTAACAATTTACAACAAATATGTTCAGTATGCCAGGTTTGTGCATGATATGAAATTAAATGAAATAATATTTTTGAAAGGGGGAAGTGTCAGTGAGGGACCCGGGCCTTGTTAATGAGTCTAGCTGCAGACGGGAAGAAGCTGTTTTTGTGACGAGAGGTTTTGGTCCCGATGGGCCGCAGTCTTTTGCCAGAGGGGAGAGTGAAACAGTTTGTGTCCAGGGTGGGAGGGGTCAGTGCAATCTTTCCTGCTCACTTCAGAGTCCTGGAGGCGTACAGTTCCTGAAATGGAATCACCTTCTCTGCAGAGTGAATGATACGCTGCAGCCTGCCCTTGTCCCTGGCAGTGGCATCAGCGTACCAGATGGACTCAATGATGGCGGTGTAGAAGTGCACCATCATTGTCTTTGGCAGGCTGAACGTCTTCAGCTGCCGCAGGAAGTACATCCTCTGCCTTCTTGGTGAGGGAGGTGATGTTCAGCTCCCACTTGAGGTCCTGGGAGATGATGGTACCCAGTAAGCGGAAGGAGTCCACAGTGGCGACTGGGTAGTCAAGCAGGATGATGGGGGAGACCATCTCCACTGTCTTCAGAGCGTTGAGCTCCAGACTGTTCTGGCTGCACCAGGTCTCCTGATGGTCAATCTCCCACCTGTAGGCGGACTCATCCCCACCATACATGACCCCAGTGAGTGTGCTGTCATCTGCAAACTTAAGGAGCTTGACGGACTGGTGACTGGAGCTGCAGCTGTTGGGAGAAGAGCAGAGGGGAACGAACGCAGCGAGGGGAACCGGTGTTGATTGGTACTGGAGTCAGAGACATGTTTTCCCATCTGTCCGACAGGAAGTCTGTGATCCACCTGCAGGTAGAGTCTGGCACGTTCAGCTGAGAGAGCTTGTCCTGCAGCAGGGCCGGGATGATGATGTTGAAAGCAGAGGCGAAATCTACAAACGCGATCCTGGCATAGGGTCCTGGGGAGTCCAGGTGCTGGAGGATGTAGTGAAGGGCCATGTTTACTGCATCATTTACAGACCTGGATTTAAGGTGGGACAACACAAAGTACTCAAAAGACTTCTTAACCACAGGTGTCAGGGCGATGGGTCTATATTCATTTAGTCCTTTTTTGGGGACAGGGATAATGGTGGAGGACTTGAAGCAGGACATGGCATGTCTCCAGTGAGGTGTTAAAAATGTCTGTGAAGACCGGAGACAGTTGATCAGCACAGTAGAGATGGTGGACTGGGCTGAAGCTGGAGCTGAGTGGAGAAGTCACAGGGGATGGTTTCCGATTGATTCTCAAAGCAGCAGTAGAACTGGTTCAGCTCATTTGCTGGGTGAGAGTCATTGATGGGGTGGGGGGCTTTGGGTTTGTAGATAGTGAAGTGGCGTCATTTGCAGAGAGTGGTGAAATTTCTCTGAGTACAGTTGTTTAGATTCTTGCACCTCCTTGCTAAACCTGTAATTTAGTGGTCCTGTCTCCACTCCTAAATGCCTTCTCCTCTTCTCCAGTATGAACTGTATTCACTTTGGTGATCCCCTGACTTTTCTTCTAGTGCTACCATCAGGTCAAAATTTTACCTTCCCATTAGCATCAGTTGTACTTTGTGTTTAGTGCCAATTAGCACACGTTAGCATGCTAACACAGTAAACTAAGATAGTGAACATAGTAAACATCACACCTGCTAAACATGTTTTTTCATTGTCATTGTGAGCATGATGTTGATGTTAGCATTTAATTTAAAGCACTGCTGTGCCTATAAGTACATTGCTAATAGCATGGCTGTAATCTAACCTAACCTATCAGTAGGTTTAGTAGGCCCCTACTGGTCCATTTGTATGTGATGATAATGCCTTCAGTGGCTTGTTCATGGTGAAATTGGATGACAGATTGACGACTGTTACGAATATCAATAATAATTTATTTCAGGTTGTAGACAGTTCTTGCAGTAGTCAGAAGGCTTTATTTGAGCTCCTTTAAGTTTCCACATTACAGATCCTCCCGAGGAGAGGTGAACATGCCCAGAGCACTTCTGCTGCTTGATGGTTCATGAAATGGGATTCTGTGCTACAGCCTTTAATCCTGTCCTCACAAAACTGAGATCCTCTTTCACAGGCTGTCAGGTGCATCAATGTACATGAAGCACACTGTTGATGTTATTCATTTATGCTCTTCACACAGTAATACTACAGTAGGTATAGACAGTGATAACAGTTCAAAAAATGTCATTTGATGATGTTTTTGTGTGAGATCTAATGACATATCACAGACACGTATCAACGAAGATGTTTTGTAGACTTTAAGAGGTTCTCTGTTAAAGTTGCTGAACTGATGACTTTACTAGTGGTGCAGTGTCTTTTTTGTCGATTGAATGCCATCTTTACTTCTTTTACTGAGTAGAATGGATTTGTTGCCAAAAAAAAAAAGATGTGTATCATTACATACCTCAGGTATTGAACCTCTGGTCTTTTTTGCCCTAACTGCATTCAGACTGTGAGCAACACAATCTATAAAACATCAAATGTTGGCCAGGATCGAGCTTTTTGGTCAGTTATTGTCTCTAAAAGAAAAGGGGGAAACAATTTCAATGCTCAACCTTCAGAGACCCATACCTGTTG